AGACATAATGATTTGTGTGTTTGGAAGAGGGTGTAGTGGGAGGTGAGGCTCTGTATGAATTCTGGGGAGGTCATTATTCATAATCATTGCCCTACCAAGCTGAAGTTGTATTTTCTCCACATCAGCAATTGAAAAAGCCTGTTATAAGTTGGTTGACCTGGAGATTGTTACATATAGGGTATATATACCTCATTTACAGATACTCAGCTATTCATAAATACCCTGTTTTAGCCTCTAATTCTTTCCTAAAAGACTGATCTCTAGAAAAAACATTCTTGTACTATTTTTAAAATTGCCATTCTTATCAGTGAATGTGTGTGTGTGTGTTTGTGTAGGCATATATGTATATATATATATATGAAATGTAATAGATCCTATTAAAGGCCATATAAATATTATAAAATTTAGTGAAAATCCATGAAGGCATTCATTAGGCCTTCTCTGGACTTCATGGTTTCCACATTCACTACCATCAAGTGAATTGGAAACTTTTCTGAAATTTCTAGAACCAGCATATTAACTTTGGCTTAGATAGCTAAAAGCTAATTCAACCCGCAGAGAATACTGCAAAGCATAGCAAAATGATCCAAATGATTAATCTACCTTATTCATCAAGAACAGGCTAAGAAAAAAAAGAAATCTGAATTCTGAACAAAGGTGAAGAAGAGTACAAGAATCATAGAAGCAGTGCCCAAGATTCCAAACAGTTGATTTGCAGTAAGCTTCTGCCTGTTCCCTCCAAATTCTTTAACTCCTGGTTCCCGATAGAATCACCACAAACACATACACACACAAGCAGACATACAACATCTATACCCACTGTCCCTGCTTACATTCTCTGAACCTCTGAGCAGGGCATAAGTAAAAGGAGGAATTTATATCCTTAGCTTGTAGGAGAAAACAGCATACTTCTCACATAAAAGACTTTGAAATAAGTATTCAGGTTGCTATTTGAGAGATAAATTATAAACCAACACATAGCTCCTAGATATCCAAGGCAACAAGATTGTAAGTATAACTATAAGGAAAAAGAATATTAATCACAACATGGTAACAACGGAAGCCATGAAAAAGGATAGTTATCAAGGCCTTACAAACCCCATCCGCGTCAGTTAAATATCCTGTCCAATGGAAGGTTTATCACTCTTATGGGGATAAACGGATTAGGATATTGGAACAAAAAGCTATTATTACACATTAAAATCATGTAATTCATTATTCTCACTCTCATTTCAGACTTACCAAGCACCTATCTGATAACTTGGGTGGCTTCCTGAAGTCAGCCTTGTCAAGCCTGCATGAACACTGAGTCTGCTGACAGTCACATTTTTCATTTTAATTTAATACACTGGAATCCTGATTTATATAGTTTACTATCTTATGGTTGAATCTCCCTGAATCTTTCAATTTCAGTATATTGGCAAAATAGCATTTTTGGATCTGCCTCATTGAGATCGGGTAAATATCATTTCACTCAGGCTCCTGAAATCTGAATTCCTCCAATTTAAACCTCTGAACTTGCTGTCCCACATATCTTTAAAATTTCAAAAATGGCTACTTTGTTGGTTTATAATGAGTATTAAATGGGATTGTGTACAAAAACAAGGCTGTCCCCGTGCATCTTAGATATAGCTTATGTAACTTTTCTTTCTGAACTTGAGAACTCATTCAACAGCCACTTTAACATTGTGGCACTCTGGTACAGCTACTATCACCTAGCTAAAGCTAGGTGATATACCAGTCTGTTATAGCTTGGATAGAATATGCTTTCTCTTGATTATAAAATAAAAGCCATATTTAATTCAGACACAAGAAAGCTATAAAAAGGGAAATTAAAATCACTCAAAACCAGTACTGTTCCAGTAAACATTTAACAACTGGCTGTTTGGGGGAAAAAAAATGTATGTGTTGATATACTTATATAAGTTTTATAAATTTTGGTGATATATAAATAATAATAAAATACACAATACTCTTTATTGTAAATTCTATCCCACCTATTAATTTTTCAGAATGCTTTCATGGATTTTTGTTGAACTTTTTTTTCTGTAGAAAATCTATGGTTGTAATCCAACCATAATTCAACATGGAATTATATCCTAATCATCTAATCCTTTTTGCAAAAAAATGTTTTGTCATTAAATCTTATTTAGAATCTGCTGTTAGACTATTTCTTACCTTATACAAATTATACTTATTAAAGTGAAACATCTTTAAGCTTCAGCACTAGACATGGCACACTTTGATCTGCATGATTACTATTTTCTTCATTAGTTTCTTAAGTCTAGGCAAACAACAAAATATAGAATCAAGTCCTGGTTTGTAGCATTAACTGATTTCAAGCTACCAAAAGGCATCACTGAATGCAGAGTAAGGAACATGCAGAGTATGGCACAACAGCTTGCCATTGTATAGTATTTCCAACAAATAAATAGAGTAGACATAAATAATCTCAAGAGCAAAGGTGATAATTTACCTTGAATACATTTTGTTTTCTCTGAAGTACATCCTTAAGAGATTTTTTTCCCCCTGGATTATATGAGCAGTAAATCCTCTGAGTCTTAGCATATTAAAACTTTCATTATTTTGCCCTAATAAAAGTTTAGTTGGGTATAAGAGTCTAGGTTCAAAATCATGCCCACACATAAATTTAAGGTTATAATTCCATTGAATTCTTACCATATCCCTTCATTTTCCTCTCATCACTGAAAAGTCTAATATTAGCAGTTTTTGCTCTTTCATCAGGAGCTGTTTTTAGTCATTGAACAAATTAGGATTTTTTTAAAACTTGATTTATTAAATTTTTTGTCATGAGAATGTGTAGTATGTTTCATTTTTATCTGAGTGTGTATAAGATGTGCTTCATTATTTTCTCTTGGCACTCAAGGCTATTTTTTAAGTTTTAGAAAATTATCTTCAATTATGTTTTTGATTGTTTTCATCTCTTTATCCTCTTCTTCTGATATTTCTATTAAACAAGTTTCAGAGCTACTGGATCTATCCTCTCAGATGAACTATTAGTCATACTTTTCCTCTTTTTGTATTTTTGATGTTTTGGGATATAGCTTTCATGTTATTTTTACTTTTGAGGGGGCTTGGGACCAATCTATATAATGGATGATTAGACAGGGTATGATGGAGAGGCCTTAGTCCCTAATATTCTCAAAGACTATAATTCTAAGTGTTACTTATACATCTAAATTTCTTCAGTTTTCTGTGGATTTCTTTTTATCCTAGAAATACTGTTATTTCCAGGTACTCAATCCATATTCTTAGATTGCTCCTTTATTGCAATATTATTCTTCCTAATATTGCACATAGCAGCCTATTATTATTACTCAGTGCAATATTTTCTCAATCATATATTTCTGAGACTATCAATTCAATGATTTTAAAGTGATATTTGAATAAAAACTTCACTTCTGCATCAGTTATTTTATTTCCCATCTTAATTTTATCATTTATGTTTTGTGTTTCCTTGATTTGGTAGGACTAGGCTATACATTCCTATATATAAATGATGGATCAGGTATGGGGTCCTCTGCAGTTGTGTTTATATATTTACCCAAATAGCTCATGAGTGGCTTTGCTCTGCTCACTCTGTGGGCACAATGATGTATGCTCTTTGGTCAGCACAAATAAAGTAGACTTCAGAAAAAAGAAAATTGCCAGAAAGAGATACGATATACTGATAAAAGTCAATTCAACAAGAATACACAGCAATCATAAATATGAATTCACTAAACATCACAGCTGCAAAATATGTGAAACAAAACAAACAGAACTGAAAGGAGAAATACACAAATACACAATTATTGTTAGGGACTTCAACATGGCTTACTCAACAATTGAGTGAGCAACTAGACAGAAAATCAACAAGGATATAGAAGAACTCAAAACTTCACCAACCAACAGGACCTAATCAACATTTACAGAACACTCCACCCAACAACAGCAGAATGCATATTTTTTCCAGTGCCCATGAAACATACACCAAGATAGACCACATCTTGGGCCACAAAACAAACCTCAAAACATTTAAAGAATTGAAATCATGCAGAGTGTGTTCTTAGACCACAATGGAATTAAACAAAAAATCATTAACAGAAGGATAACAGGAAAATCTCCAAACACTTAGAGACTAAACAACATACTTGTAAACAATCCATAAATCAAAGAGGAATTCTCAAGAAAAACCAAAAATACCTTAAACTGAATGAAATGAAAATTAAAATAAAACGTATCTACTGGGCTTCCCTGGTGGCACAGTGGTTGAGAGTCCTCCTGCCAATGCAGTGGACACGGGTTCGTGCCCCGGTCTGGGAAGATCCCACATGCCGCAGAGTGGCTAGACCCGTGAGCCATGGTCGCTGAGCCTGCATGTCCGGAGCCTTTGCTCCACAACGGGAGAGGCCACAACACTGACAGACCCGCGTACCGCAAAAACCAAACCAAACCAAAACAAAACAAAAAACATATCTACTTATATGAGAAACAGTTAAGCAGTGCTGAGAGGGAAAGTTATAGCACTGAATACATATATTAGCAAAGAGGAAAATCTCTTTCAGAAAATTGAAGAGGAGCGAACACTTGGCAATTCATATTATGAAACAAGTTAAGTATTACCCTGATAACCAAACTAGATAAAGAGAGTGCAAGAAATAAGGTGTTGGTGGGGGGGACTATGGACCAATATCTACCATGAATATAGACACAAAAATTGCTTTAAAAATATACAGTTCAGTAATATATAAAAATAATTATATACCATATCATTATTCATATTATTTCTCCATATTATTTCTTAGAATTTCACATAAATCTATAACTTAAAAGTTTAATTTTAAAAAATAAGGTGTTAGTCCTCCCGCGAGGGAGAGGATGCACGCACAGCGCCTTCCACCCAAGCGGAAGTTTTCTCAGGGCAACTGAGAAGGACACAGTTAAGATGGAGTTTCCAGCCCAGTGAGTCTGAGGGTCTGACTGTGACCCCATAAAGCATGATCTCCTGTCAAGACTATGGCAAAGGTGTTGAAGCAACTTTCAAATTCTGCCCTTACTGCAGGAAACCTTTGCCTGCAGAGGAGCACGAGGGGTCCAAGACCTTTGTCAAGCTGTCTATGTCATCCTCCCAAGGCTCAAGGAGAAGGAGGAACACCAGTTCTGAAATATCTCCCAAGAAAGTGAAATGGCCCAGCTGTGCTTCCTCTCCCCCATCATCCCTTCTCTCAGAAGGTGACAGTTCTGAATCTGAAGATACATTGAGTACCTGTGAGAAACTCAAAGGTGCTGGAGCAGATCCCCAACCTCCCGGAGCAGCCCTCGGACACCCAGGCAGAGCTCTCAGACACTGAAGTGGAGGCGGGTGACCACCTTGCTCAAGGCTTTGCCAGCGGGGACGGTGCTGATAGACAAGAGTGGGTGGCACTGGAAGCTGAGATGCCTCCAGAGCAGGGATGGCCAGGGCATTCTCTATGAAGGTACACTCTGTCCACAGGTGGGCAGGTGCTGGGCTGGGCTGGGCTGGGTCGGGCCATCTTGGAGCCAAGGCAAAGGGGAGGGAACCACTTTCTGAGAATGGAGATGGAGCCATATCCCAGCTGCAGACCTGCCTCGAGGCAGCTTTCTCTTAGAGCTGGGACTGCAAACCTATGCACCTACAGCGGCTGGGAAGGTAGAGTAAATGAGTGCAGGAGGCTGGGAATCAGGCTATTGGGAGTGGTGGGGACTGTGGCCAAACAGAGCGCATGTGCCCTAGATAAAGAGGACACTTCTCCACTGCCACCTACTGTTGTCACGTGGGAGTGCAGGCCCAGTGTGGCCGGAAGATAAGGACAGTGGTCACTGTTCTGTCTGTCCTGCAGAGATAGGATGGACCCTTCCTCCAAATTTGGTTTGAATGTTGAGACTGATGAAGATATGAAAGGTTTACTGCTTGCATAATTGAGATCTCTGGTTGGGGGAGAAGCTCTGTGAGAACAAGGAAGAGCACCTAGCCCCAGTTTTTACTGTGGTTAAGGGGCAGGGCTGAGGTGAGGGTTCTGCCTGGGCCAGGGCCTCATGTGGTTTGAATCTCTGCCATCACCAAAAGAGGGAGCTCCAGGCTTTCTTATCAGTGGGACGGGAAGAAGCAGGGCTGGGCTTAAAAGTTAAACAAAACAATAGTTAAACAAAAAATGCAGTAAGACAACTTGTTACAATGAAAGAAAAAATAACTGCACTGGAAATGTTAGTATTAATCAACCTAGCATTAACTGAGTGCTTACTTCAGGCCAGGCCTTGTTCTAAGCACTTTATGTGGTTTTATGAGGTGTTTTGCATTTTTAAAAATTGAGATAAAATTCATATAACATAAGATTCACCATTTTAAAGGCTACAGTTCAGTGGGTTTTAGTAGATTCACGATGGTGTGCATCCGTCACCACCATCTAGTTCCAGAGTATTTCTGTCACCCCAAAAGGAAACCCTGTACCTTTACCAGTTACTCTCATCCTCCTCCCCGCCCCCCAGCCCCTGGCAACCACTAATCTACTTTATGTCTCTATGGATTTACCTATTCTGGACATTTCAGATAAACGGAGTGATGCTCTCTGAAAAAAAAATAAAATAAAAATAAGGTGTTCATCTGCATATTAAGTATTTATAACTACATGTTTAGACTTAGTGAAAAGTTTACTTTCTTATTAATTTTTATAACTTTAATTTTCTGTCTAATTATGCATTAGCTTTAGATTCAGTAAGAAAAAATTTTGCTTTCAGGAAAAAGCAGAAAAAAATATGAGAATAATATAAATATAGAAAAAAATACAGAAATCATAAAAAACGCTTTATGAATAAATTATAAATTTCAGATGGTATTAGATAAGGTAGTGTTTATACAGATGTTTAAAAAGAAACAGATGCAAGATAAATATAATCAATAAGATTTTCTTCACGGGCCTAAAGTAATTTTTTAAAGTGAAGACCATGCTTAAAATATATGCAAAAATAATTTTCCTTCAAAAAGGGAAACAGGAGCATCTCTTAATTTTCTTTGTAAGTTAAACATTTTGACTTAATTGGAAAATAATTTAGGAGATCTAACAGGGAAATGAATAGCTGATTATCATATGAATTTGAAAAAAGAGGAGTTACGTGGAAAAGCTCTGTAGCTCTAAAAGCAACGGAAAAACTAAGCCTTTTGGGTCTACTTGAGAAGACATAACCTTTACAGTAAAAAAAAAAAAGAGCAAATATACAGATTGCATTATTGAGTAGCAGAGGCTAATATTAAATAAGGCAAATGAGGAATCCCAATAACACCCACATTATAGTTATAAATAAGCCCATGCAATGGAAATTTCCAATTCCAACGTAAGATTTGGTACAGATGAATAACTGAGGAGTAGTGGAAAGAAGGTTTCTAATGTAAGCATGATGCAGTATCCTTTGACATTCCCCTTTTGAACATGCTGTTTAAGCCAGAGATGTTCAGTTCCACTTGAAGGAAACCCAATTCAACATAGTTGAATCTAAGCACGGGATGGATTGGAAGGGTATAGGATATCTCTGAGAATTAAAGGAAGATCTGCAGGAACAGGGCATCTCAGAGCCTTGTAGACTGGAATCAAGGACCTGATCCTCTGACTCATTCTGCTTTGCATGCGTTTCTGGGATATTCTCACATGGCAAAAGACTTGGTCCCTGGAAGTTCTTGGAAATACTTTTAGTACTTGATGCCCAGGAGAGAAGAGAGAATTATTCCTGCTAGTTTCACTTAGAAAAATCTCACATAAAGACCCTACTTGCCCCAATTTGCATCATATAACTATTCCTATATTAACATTTGGCCAGATTGATAAGTACTGTGATTGACCCCACCTACATCATATACCTAACCTGTAAGAAAGGAGAATGTTCTGTGAAGATGAAAATAATATAAAATAGCACTACAGGGACAATGTTAAAAAGCAGAACCATTGGAAAGTGCCAGTAAGATATCCTGACAAGAAAGTAAATGAGAAAATAGGCAGAAAGTCTTTCTTTCTTCCTTTATTTCTTGATTTATTTTTGCCACACTTTTCCCCCCACTTACCTAAGTAAGTAGTCCTATTTTCTTTTATAAAAGACTGGTATTGGGAACTTAATTTAACTGGCTCAAATGTGTTAGTTGGGGAAGATTGCAATAGACTCTTTACTATTAATTACCGTAGCAATTATAGAAGCTAATTATATTTTTTTAATGTTGAAAGCCAATATCACTCACTAGATAATATAGTCTTTGGTTATTAGTTGTGAAAAAAATTAAACCACCACTAAATAAGTAAATTATTCTTTGAAACTCTTGGTTAAATGATGGATATGTGTTTATTTTTCTTTTAGTATCACTAATCACTCACTACAAATATAAAAATATTTGCATTATTCAATGTACTTGAAAATAACTTATTGTTTTCTATTTTATATACTGTCACCATCTATTTCCATAAGATGTTATGGAAAAAAACCCAAAGAAACTCTTTGGCCAACCCAATATATACAGTGTAGAGATTATTAATCAGACCGTGATTTGGTGCTAATTTATGTGAAGCCGATGGATATACTACTGGAAGAAAAACAAGAGAACCATACTGACATTTTAATATATAGCTCCAATACCACATACATGCATATATTTACTTCCTTACCATACCATGCTTACATTATAGGTCACAAAGCCTTCCAAATTGTGGAATGCAATTAAATAAAGAACACAGAAACCAATGTCATAAGATTGGTCATAGAAATGGAAGTTGGGATGTCTTTTGGAAGCTCCCAGATCTTTCAGAAGTGTTTTATTTGCAAAACTTTTTAACTGTAAAAATTACTGTTCATTGTTTCTTTTTTTTCCAAGAATCACCTTATTTATTCACTGTATTTCTTTAAATTTAAAGAATTTAAGTTTGGTAAACATTTAATATTTTGTTATTGGCAATAAACTTTAGGGAAAAAACCTTTATATCCCTTGCTATAGGCTACTGTGATTTTGGTCTTAGTATATGGAAACTTATTTTCACCTCTTTTAAAAGGTGTTAAAAATAAATTCTCCAGTCAGAAAAAATAACCTTATGGGTGAATGAATTAAACTATCCTCTCTACCTAGCAGGCACCATAAATAATCCGTTAAGAGTTTTGAGGACTTTATTCCCATATACCTTATATTATCTACCACACAGCCGATTCACTACATCACCCAGGTTCTAAAAGACATGAAAACTTCAAGGTCTGTGTCAATGCCAATTCTACAAGAGAATCAGCAAAAGTTATTTAGTGCAGGCATGCACTAAGAACTAGCAACTGTTCTTCATTACATTCAATATACTAATGCATTATCTTGAGATGGAAAATGTGTCTTCTGTTTTTGAAAACTTAAAGACTGTGGTTCAAAATGTAAAAAAGAAAAAGTCATAGAAGTATTATTTAAAAAGACAGTAGGAGGGAAAAAATAAACAAACAAATGTGTGGCAAAATAAAATACCTACCAAAATCTTTTCTGCATAATTATATGTGATTCATATAAGCTAAGAAAACTAAAGTACAATTAAGTATTATTTAAAAAAATGATTCATTGAGGGCCTTGTCAGTACTTATTTTTAGAACAAATAGTGCAATAACAGTCTAAAAAGCAGGTAGAGATAGGTTTTGAAAAGTCAAAACAAAAATTCATCCACAAAAAATGTAAAGAGATATATATATAAACAGAAATGTTTTCAAACTTTCAAATACCTGTGTCCTTTTAATAGAAAGTTGTGTTGTTTTGCATGTACTTTTAAAATTTCCCTGACCTTCACATAGTATCTTCTTAATAGCCCTATGAGGTTATTAGATAGAATAGTCATTATCACACCCACTTTTTTTTTTACTTAACTTGTTTGATTTTACTCTTTTCTTTTTTCATTGAGGTATAACTAACATGACGTTATATTAGTTTCAGTTGTATACTGTAATGATTCGATATTTTTATATATTGCAAAATTATAGCCACAGTAAGTTCAATTAACATCTAGCATCATACATAGTTACAATTTTTTTTTCTTGTGGTGAGAACTTTCAAGATCCACTCTCCTAGCTACTTTCAAATATACAATATGGTATTATTAACTGTAGTGACCATGCTGTACATTATATCCCCAAGACATTCATTTTATCAATATAACAAAAAAATTGGACCCTTTCACCCATTTTGCCCATGCCCCAGTACTCCCCACCTCAGGCAACCACCAATCAGTTTCCATATTGATGAGCTCAGCTTTTGTTGTTGTTGTTTTTAAGATCCCACATATAAGTGAGATCATACAGCATTTGTCTTTTCTGACTTATTGCACTTAGCATAATGCTCTCAAGGTCCATTCATGTCACAAATGGCAAGATTTCATTCCTTTTTATGGCTAAATAACATTCCATTTATATTTATATATATAAATATATATATATATAATATAAAACATCGTAAAAATTTATTCATTCATCAATGGATAT